CTATTTGAACTCCTTGGTCAGTGTTTCAAGACGGGTCAAATAACTAATGCTAACCATTGATGGCGGACTGCTTACCTAGAGTAACATGCTCACCGCAACAAGGAATAAACCAAATCGCAGATACAACAGATACATTTAGTAAACGCAGGCCGTAGCTGTCCCACAGCTAAACTACACCGGCTAGGTGATGCCCAGCACAGAACATCGCACTACGTACGAGCTGTCCCATATCGATGCCGCAGCGGCATAGTTTCTCAATGAATGAGTGTGCACTAGTGCACAGAGTCTCTGGCAGGGCTAATCAAGAGCAATCGGTTGAATGGACAACTTACGCTCAAGGCACCACACAACTAACTACCCTGTTGATAGGCACACCACTTTACAGCACAGTTATCTGTTTTACTCACTATGGTTTCACATACTGTTGAACTCTCTCGTCAGAATTCTTTTCAACTTTCCCTCATGGTACTTGCTCGCTATTAGTCCCTTCATATATTTCGCCTTTGATGAAATTTACCACCATCTTTAAGTTGTACTCTCAAACAACTAGACTCTCCAGAGCTTCGGTTCAACAGGATAGTACAACCACACAGGCTTTACACCTTCCCTGAGCACCCACATAATAATAATTGAGTTGTACTCCTATTAAACACAAAACACTAACCTAACCTAACAAAACACCTAACCTAACCTTTTTTTTTTTGGAGGTTAAGGGCAAATGCATTATGCAGACCGGACATCACTGAATTGTGTTTTGTCCGGCACCGTGGGACTCTCACCCACTAAACCCTGGACCCCTGTGTCAGCTTGGGTCATGGTTCGGGATATGTTTGATATTACTTCGAAACCATGACTTGCAGGAGCGGTCATTTCATCATCCTTCCCTTTGAGCCCTTCCAGTCCATCCTCCATTCTGGCTTTCCTCTTGACCAGAAACTCTGGGGCTCGAGGGGGATCGTACTCCCTGTACTTCTGTTAATTCCAGGTGTTGTGCATTGGGCCCATGATTGTTTCGGGTCCGCCCTTCCACTATTCTCTTACGTCTCATCCTTTCTAGTTGTTCTTTTCTTTTCATAATATCGTCAAAAAAATCCGTAACTTTGGCCCAGTTCGTCCTGTCCTTTGTCATAATATCTACCATCTCCGTAGTACTGCCCGTTGTTACTACTTCTCTGTGTATCTGCTTGTCTCTGATCGCTTTAAGTGCCTGGCAGTGAATAAGAGTATGTTCTACTCCGTTCTTCATGCCCGACACGCAGAGCACACAGATGTCCACTTGCGTTTTGCAGATCTTTGTCATGTATGTCTGGAACTGTCCATGACCCAACAAGAGTTGGTTGGAGTAGTATGTTAGCTCTCCCTGGCTGCCGCGAATCCATTTCCTGACATCTGGTATTAGATGTCGGGTCCAACTGCCCGGAGATTCTCGTCCTCCGTAAGTGCGTGGATTTTCCCATTGCTGCTGCCATTTGTTCATTGTATCCTCACGTGCCCTTGTGTTGTCGGTGGAATCATCTCTTTGTCATCGTTCGGCTCTTCCCACGGCAAGCAAGTCCCATGGGACCATTTTGGCCAGCACTAGAAGTGCTTCGGTTGACACAGTTCTGTACGCTCTGGCCACAGGTATTGCGACTATTCTTTGAGCAGCCAGCAGTATATCTCTATTGACTTTTGTCCTCAGCGCTATTTCCGCCCATACAGGAGCTGCGTACAGCGCTCTAGCTTCAGCTACTGAAGCTAGTAGTCTTCGGCTACCTTCAGAGGCCCCTCCTACTCTGGGAAGTATTCGCGACAAATTGAGGGCTGCTTTTTCTGCCTTTGTATCTACATGTTTAATATGTTCTCTTCCGTCATTGCAGTGTCAGTCATTACTCCGAGGTATTTTGCCTTTTTCTGAATGCTGATTTGGATATTACCCAAATATATTTCTACATTTGTGGTCTTCTTTTTTCCAGTTAAGTATAATGCTTCTGTCTTCTCCGTGGCTAACCTCAGGTAGTGTTCTACCATCCATCGATCTATCAACTGGAGGAAGTCATTTTTCTTATTCTCAAGTTCCACTTCTCTCCGGGTCCTGATAATAAGAGCCAGATCATCTGCATATGCTATAGTTTCCACCCCTCCCTGTAGACCCGTTATTTGTAGTACGCCGTCATAGGCTAGGTTCCAGAGCATTGGACCAAAGGCCGACCCCTGCAGGACCCCAGCTATGACCTTGTATTTCGTCCCATCCGCTTCCAGTCTTCTGTTCTCTAAATACGAACTGATGACTTTGCGTAAATACACAGAGATACCCTTTTCTGCCAGTGCAGCCATCAGTTTTCTCCAGTTCATGCTATTAAAGGTATTTCTAACATCCAGAAAAATCAGAAGTACGAAGTTTCTAATCTACAGCTTGCTACTCATCTGCTCTCTTGCTATCTCGAGGACCCCATTTATAGCTGAGTGTCGGACGCTGTTTCCTGAAGCCATATGGCGCCTCTGATACTGCCTCTTTATCTTCAATCTGCTTGGTCAATCTGGCGACTACGACGCTTTCCATGGCCTTTGCAGCCGTTTTTAGCAGACAAATTAGTCGAAAGGCCGTCGGCCCTATCTTGTGTCCGGGTTTTGGAATGGAGCTTTGCTTCCTTCCATATATCCGGAAAAATCCCTCGCCGTAGTATGTCGTTCGCCGACTTTTGAAAGGCTATCGGCCATCTTTTAATTAGCATCCTGACCACCTCTGGTGGAACGCCGTCCGGGCCCGGTGCTTTTCCTGTTGCTATTTTGTCTCTTGCTTCTGTTACCTCTTCCAGTGTCATCTTCTTCTGGAATGTCTCCTTCGTCGACCTCGAACATTGTGTCACCCCTCCAGAGCTGCGTTGGGAACAGGCTTCTTACCACGTTCATCACTACATCTGGAGGTAGCGGTGGAGATTTTGTCTTTATTTTATTCATTACAATTTGGTAAGGAAGTCCGAAAATGTCTCGGTCGACTGCCTTAATCAGTTTCTGCCAGGATCTTTCCTTGCTACGTCTTATACCTTGTCTTAGCTTATTTCGGGCGTCCTGGTACTCCCGGAGCTGTTGTAACGTTCCCTGTTCTGTTTCTGATCGTAGGTCGTTCGTGCGTCCTTGCCAGTTTCCTGTTCTTGTGTAGATGCATCTTTTCCTCAAGCACATTTTCCTGAGCTCTGCGATTTCCTTGTTCCACCAGTGTTTTGGACGATGAGGGTGCCGCCTGCTTGATAACTGCCGATTTGCTTTTGAGCATGCGTCGATCATTAGCTGTCTGAGTTGCTGCGCACTTCCCGTTCCGTGTGCCAAACTATGTTCGCACCTTCTGTCTATCTCTCTTTGCAGGATAGTGTGGTCCAACTTCTTTGCTTGCCATCTTCGTGTCTTTCTCTGTGTATGCCTTTTGATAGGCTTGTTTGATCGACGTAGAAGGATATGTAACGGTGATCACTGCCGCTTTCCTTTTCGTCCAGTACTCTCCGCCCCGTTGTAGAGGCTATTGCAGCATTGTTTACCAGCGTGAGATTTATGAAGGATGGGTAACCTCTATGTTCGCAGGTAGGAGTCTCACTGTCACTTAAAGCCACGAGTTCCATTCCTGCATTACTGTTCCTCTCCGGTTATTAATTCTACTATTACTACTCCATGTTATACTTTTATGAGTTAAAGTCCCCCGTAATGATGATCTTCTTCCCTGTGTCATGTCTTTGTATGCTTTGGCCAAGCTCGTCAAGGAATCTTTCAAATTCTTCTATTGATCTATTGGGCGAAAAATAGCACTAGTAAAAGACAGCCACGTTTTCAACCTCCACCCAGGTGAACTCGTTTCCTTTTACATTTCTTCGTATCACCGTTTTTCCTATGCCGCCCCGATATATGGCAGTGTCCTTTCTGTCGTCCGTCACCACAATCTCCTTAGATCCTATTCTTTAACTGTTCGGTTCTGAAAGCAGACATAGGTGTATGTCGTATTTTTGGGTCGTCACTTCCAGTACGTCATGGGCGATACAGGAGTAATTTAGGTCAATCTGTAGAAGCCTGAACTCTATTTTGTTGGTTGTCTCCTCGTCCACTATCCGCTATCTGTTTCTGTTTCTTTGATACTTTTTTAGGTCATTTAACAGTCTTTTTTACCGACGGCATTATTAAGTTTTCTTCGTTAATAATCGGTCTGTTTGCGCTCTTCTTCCTCTTCTGTGCTTCGCCGTCCTTTTCTCCCCCTGTTTTATCCATGGTCTCTCTTGGCTCTGCCGCTCCTCCTCCAGAAGAGGGGAGCTTTGTCGTTGTCCTACCCTCTCTCCTCCATTTGTCTCGGGCATGATCCATTAGTGTTCTCTATTTAGAGCATCGCATTGATGTGGCTCTGTGGCCGTCTATCTCGCATTCATAGCAATAAGGGGTCGACCTGTCACAGCTATCGGCTGGATGCCCTATATTCCCGCAGTGGAAGAATCGTATTCCTTCTATTTTGACTTTTTCCTAGCACTCGTAGGCTTTACGACCTACTTTTTGGAACATAAAGTAATTCGGTTTC